TTGCGTATTTGATCCCGGATCGGAGTTTTGATAGTTATGTTAGGTCCGAGTGGTGATTTTGGACTTGGGAGTGTACCCAGATTTGCATTTGGATAATTTTAGGAGGTTTCGGCACGAATTGGCGAAAGACAGAAATTTGAAGATTTGGAATGTTCATAAGTTTGACCAAGAGTTGACTTTGATGATGCCGTGTTCGAATTGTGGTTCCTGGAATTGGAATAGCTTCTTTATGTCATTTGGGACTTGTGTGCAAAATTTGATTCCATTCCGAGTTGGATTGATATAGTTCGACATGAATTTTGGAAGTTGAAAGTTCAAAAATTCATTAAGTTCGATTCGAGGTGCGATTCATGATTTTGATATTGTTATGTGTGGTTTGAGGTCTCGATTAAGTTCGTGTTATGTTATGGGACTTGTTGGCATGTTTGGACGGGGTCCCGAGGGGTTCGGGTGTGTTTCAGATTGACTTTGAACCATTTCGGAGTTACATGAGATTGCTGGTTTTCTAGAGTTTTAGTTGTGCTTCGTGATTGTGGGAGATGGAACGCGATCGCGATGGGTATTTTTGTCAGTGGAGCTATTTTTTCTTCGCGTTCGCGCTTCAGAGATCGCGTTCGCACTTTGTTGAAGTTTTTAGTCTTCGCGTTCGCGTCCATGGCTATGCGTTCGCGTAGTGTTGAGCGGGGCTAGTCAGTCTTGATGGGTTCTTCATCGCGTTCGTGATGGTTTGTTCGCGATCGCGGAGGTTTGGCAGTATGCTTCATCGCGTTCGTGAGGTTGTTTCCGCGAATGCATAGAGTAAAGTGTGGTAGTGTGAGTTTGTGCTTTGCGAACGCAAAGCTGCTACCGCGTTCGCGAAGGGTATTGCTGGAGCAGTGATATAAAGTACTCTATTTCGAAGGTTTTGGCCATTTGAGCATAGTTTGAGCTATGTACTCGGATTTGGACGATTTTGGAGGCGATATTTATCACATGGATTGGGGTAAGTGTCTTATACTCGGTTTTGATTATATTCTGTATTTCCATCTTCATTTTTGGCATTTGATTCATGATTTCAAAAGGAGAAATTGAAGGGTTTTGTCTAAACTTTCCTAAAGAAAAATTTTGAGTTTTGAACATTGATTCAGAGTCGAAATTGAGTGAAATTAGGATGGTAGGACTCGTAAATGAATGAGTTGTCGAATTTTGTGAGTTTTGTTGAGTTTCGGGTGCGGGCCCGAGTTTGAATTTTTGGTTGACCTTGAGTAAATGCATAAAGATTAAACCTTTATCGATTGGGTTTGCTTCCTATGGCATTATTTGATGATTTTGAGTTGATTTTGGCTAGTTTCGAGCTGTTTGGAGGATGATTTGAGCAGTATGGCGCTTCTAGTATATCGATTTGGCTTGTTTGAGGTAAGTGTCTTACCTAACTTTATTGAGAAAAAATTTTCCTACTAATTGCTATTGTTTGCTATATGCGGGGGTGATACATATATGAGGTGATGAGCGTATATGCATGTGCCAGGGTTAATCATGCTCGGGAGTAAATTATACGATTAATTGTGCCTTGTAGAAATTACGTGACCTTCTTATTTCATGTATTACTTGACTTCTAGATTACTAAGAATATGAAATTAAATGCTAGAAACCAAGATCTGGCTTATTATAACTTGATTAAAATTTGACGGATTTTTGTGAAACTATTGATGTATTTAAGTCGGGCACCACTATGCTTAATCACCAATACATCGCTATGACCGTTATTCTTGAGATATTGGATTCTATACTTGAGTTGAAGATCATTTTGAGACTTGTTGAAATATTTGTACAATAAAGTAATTGAGGTTTATTGAATTGTTATTGGCTTGAAACCTGTGATTGATGTTCATTTGGAATATTCGCTTAAACACTCTCCTTGATGTTATTCATGCTTCCTACCATGCTTGTCATTGATATACATATACTTGGTAAGGAAGAGTGTAAAGAACGAAAAGTGATGTTGTGCCATTGCATATACATTATCATGTGAGGAAGAGTGTAAAGAACGAAAAGTGATGTTGTGCCATTGCATATACATTATCATGTGAGGAAGAGTGTAAAGCACGAAGGGTGATGCCGTGCCCTTTTATTTAAATTATCATGTGAGGATAAAAGTAAAATCACGAAGGGTGATGCCGCGCCGTTTTATTTATATTATCGTATTTTCATTTACATTATCATGCGAGGAGGAGAGTAAAAGCACGAAGGGTGATGTCGTGCCATTTTATTTATATTATCATATTTTTATATTATCATGTGTTCATGGCACGAAGGGTGTTTCCATGCAGGCGAGGACGATGGACATGTACTATGTTATGATATCTTTTTCTTATGTATACATTCATGCCTTTACTTTGAATTGTTACTGTTGTACTTATGCTTTCTATATGACTTGTCGTGGTTGTTCTGTCTTTGTCCTCTATCTCAATTGTTGTTGTGTTATCTATACATGCTAGTTGTTTAACTTGCAAATATCATATTTTTTCTTCTTGTTGTTATATCTACATCCATGTTGTTCCCTATTTATTGCACTTTCGTATAAGCCTTCTACCATGTTAGTTATTCATGCCTTCTATTTGTTAGCTCATGAAATCGTGCTTTCTCTCTTATTTGTTATATCTACATCCATGTTGTTCCCTATTTATTGCACTTTCGTATAAGCCTTCTACCATGTTAGTTATTCATGCCTTCTATTTGTTAGCTCATGAAATCGTGCTTTCTCTCTTATTTGTTATATCTACATCCAGGCTTTCTACCATGCTAGTTAGTGAAATTTGTGTTCTTCTTTCCTAATTCCTATCATTACTTCTATGCCTTTTACCTAGTCTGTTACCATTGTCCATACAGACTGCCATGTTCGTTATAACTACATGTGTACTTCCCGCTTTGTCATTATTGTTACTGGCATTCTTTCATCTGGTTGGTATTGTTATACGTATATTTGGGGAGGATGAGATAAATGCACGAAGGATGTTGCCGTGCCACTCGATTTGATATCTTGAGTACATTTCTCACATTATGAAAGTTATGGATTTACTATCGTGGTTTGTTGGTTATCGCTCTAAGAAAAGGATTGGTCGAGGTATTGAGGAATATTTAATTGTGATTTCTTCTAGTAATCATTTACTGCTTTGCATATTCATTTATTGTACTCTTTTCGTTATGTTGTAATTTTGTTCTATTGATAGTCTTCTGCGCGGGTTATATCAGTGAGTATTTTTTAACTAAAAAGCCTCATCACTACTTCACAGAGGTTAGTCAAGATAATTACTGAGTATATGGGGTCGGTTGTACTCGTACTATACTTCTGCACCTTACGTGCAGATCTTGGAGCGGAGCTGCAGTGGATGACGGGGGCTGACACTGAAGATGTTCGTGCCTTCCGGGTGTGGCTACCACTTGTCCCTGGGTGATTTTAGAATTGAATCCTGTTTATATACATTTCAAACAGAAGTTGTATTCATTTCTTATCAGTCTTAGTAGCTCATGACTTGTACTACCAGTCCTTGGGATAATGTATGGAATCGAGATATATCATTTGTTGGTCACCTTTACTTTATTAGAATTGTGTTAACAATTAAGTGGCTGACCTAACGGGTTGGGTTAGGTGTCATCACGACTAGTGAATTTTGGGTCATGACATCATCAGAGTCTGAGACTCCTACTCCTGATTCACCCTTTGTATCTTCTCCTAATTTATCATCATTTTCATTGAGTTTAAATGAGGATGTTGCAGGTGATTCCACATTATCACATCGACCTAGTGGGGTGAAGAAAGTAAAAATGAAGAGAAATAGATGAAGATTATATGAAAATGGTCCAATCAAAATATAATCAGATTGTTGAGGTGATGAAAGATTCAAATAAGACAAAAAAGAAGCTTTGAGACTAAAAGAACTCAAAGAAGAGAATAAAATTTTACTCTTCGATGTGGATTCTGTTGTAGATCCGAATTGTCGTGAATTTTTGTGACAAGAACAAAAACGAATAATGAATAAAAGAACTCAACAATTTCAACAGCCACAACCCCAACAATCCTCTACACCCATTCACTCAACACTTTAATGATTTTGGTGTATTTGACAACGACTTACATCCCAACTAAATTATTATGTTATTTAATATAGTTTAATTTTTATGTATTTTTTAATTTAATGTGTTTTTAATTTTAATGTATTTTCAATTTACACGTTTCAATTTTAGCAACCTCTTGTATTTTATATTTGCACCTTTCCTTTTTGTGATGGTTATATAGTTTTTTATACAATCATAACTTATAATGAAATTAACTTACAATTTTACATAAAAATAATATATGCAGGAAAATTAATTTATCAAATTATACGCCAAAATTAAGAGGTAAAGTTAATATTATAAAGATATTACATAAACATAATTAGGTATATATAATATGATAAATTAAAAGAGTTAAATAGTAATATAATAATAGGAAATAATAATGGAGTGGGCGAATAGTATCACTGTTCACATTCCAAAATGGAGACAAATTTGCAGCTGAATTAGAGTAAAATTCTTCTATTTTTGACTCCAAAATGGAGTTTGGAGGTAAAAAGGAAAGGTGGACTGAAGACGGGGGGTACAAATAGCACGTTGGGGAAGATGGCCTAAATCAGTCAGGTAAAAAAGCTCCAAATTCTTGAAGTTGATAAAATATTGTAAGAACCATTTTCTAAATATAAAAAATACACACACATTTAACCTAAAACAAAGGCGTTTTTCTTATGCTCTGTTTTCCACACCTTTTATGATTGGTGTTGTTCGGTAAAATACTAGATTAAATTTGAGATAATTTTACTATAAGATTGGTGAAATAAAATTATGATATAAATTATAGTGTTACTTTTATTTGCTAAGAGGGTGGAGTAATAATTTCGAAATTATCTCAAAATAATTAATGCTACCATAACTTATTTTTCAATCAACCGACCCTAAATAATCATCTTAATTCTTGTTCTGTATCCTTTTCTCCGAGGAAACAAAAAGTCTCATTTCTGAAAAAGGCCAAAGACACCCCCTGAATACTTTTTCTTCTTTTGCCTGGGGCTGTTCCTCCCAAGAAAACACCAGCCATCATACTAAAATTTGCTGGGGTTTTCTTCTAAATCACCATTTTTACAGATTTGCTTTTTCTTCCTCTGCATGTGAAAAAACAAACAAACCAAACAGAAGAAAGCAAAACAAAAATGGCTTGGGAACCTATTCTTTGGCTGATATTTTTAGTCATTAATATATCCCTCATCTCATTAATCATCTATCAGGTACCCTTTTTGCCCTTTATTCCCGAACTCCATTCAGTTTCTATTCTTTGTTTCTCTTTCATATGGTTTTTGGAAGATTAAATGAAAATTTAATTTAAACGTTTATTTCACAAATTCTATTTCGGAAAGTTATATTTTCTTTTCAGAAATTTAATGATTATTTGTGTATAACAAAGTATTACTAGTGATTAGTGCATAGTTAATTAGTTATTGTTATATTTTGTTTTATTTTTTTTCTGTATTTATTGTGTGTTATTTTTAGGAGTCATCTTTGACAAAGTTTCAACTAATATGTTCATCTAATAGTTATAAAAAGAATCTTTGTAGACTTGTAATAAAGTTGATGACTAAAGGTTTGAGTTTTTTCTTGTATACGTTTCTAGGTTTAAATGTTTTTGCAGTTATGAAGGTTCTTGTTAGTTATTTACTTCATTTCAAGACCACTAAATTGTTCTTTTTATGCACATTATGTTAATTTTATGTCTGAAGTTGTTTATTTGGCTTTTTGTAGATTGTGTGTTTAACAGATTTGGAAGCTGATTATATGAACCCTTACGAGTCTTCGTCTCGTATCAACTCTGTGGTCCTTAAAGAGTATATATTACATGGTGCATTTTGCATCCTATTCCTTATCACAGGGCACTGGTTTATCTTCCTGCTAATGCTTCTTCCTGCTTACTATAATGCCAGAAAGTAAGTTTCTTTTTTCAAATTTTATGTCTTTTACAAGTTGATATTCATGCTATGTAGTTGGACATTATACTTCCATTCCTGACACCAGATTATATTTTCAATGCTCTGTTTCGAATGCCAACAAATTCACAAGGGATTACTGTCTCTTTCATGTGCTTAGTTTCAATAAGTGAATTTATCTACTCGGTAAAGGAGAAGAAACAGAAGTGGAACCTTCACGGGTTCGAGCCGTGCAAACAACCTCTTGCAGAAATGCAGGGTAAGGCTGTGTACAATACACACTTGTGGTCCGGCCCTTCCCTCGACCCCGTGCATTGCAGTAACTTTGTACACTGGGCTGCCCTAAAGGAGAAGAAACGGTTTTCTAGAATGTACATATGTCGAGAGGAATTTCTTAAAATGGGAGATACGTATGGCTTACCGTAAAAAATGTCGCTGTTCGTTAATCTTCTGATTACTTGTTCGGCTATTTTGTTTTGTCAAAGTATTGTGGAGAACTTGGTGTCTGTATAGGTATGCAACCTCATTGCTTACTAATGCTGATATGCAGCTCACTGCTTTTATCTTATTTTATTCTGTCGCTATTACTTTCTGAAATTAGCGAAGGAGCTTGGTAGATTGATATTTGACCTGATGCTATTGCTTAAGTTATAAAGTGTATATTTACACCTTATGTATGATAAAATAAAACTCTTCCTGATCTGTCCTTTCAATATCTTAAAGAGATACCACTTAAGGTCTCTTTTACTGTTGTGCAGTTTGCAACTATGCCTATAACTGTGGTAATTCAGTTTACTGGAAAACTCCATTCTAACAGATTTACGTGTGAGGGAGATGAATTTTCTAGATAGACAGATATTATATGTGATAAGGAGGAGTACGAGCTGCTTCTTAGTCAATGGTTAAGCTCAGATGTTGACAGACCAGTTGCCAAATTCTATGTTTATACTTCCAAATATGGTTATGATTGAGCTGTTCATAACTGCATCTCAAGAAACTTTTGCAAGATCTAAAATCTGCGGAACGTAGTATAAGAAAATAATAAGAGCGTTATTCTATTACAGTAGATACATGTGCAATGCTTTCTAAATTGAACAAAAAAGTAAGAGGAACTGGATGACACACAGTGGCAGAAAAAGCTTAAAAGTCTGTCTATTATCGACCACAAAAATTCATGGTGGTGGAATGAATAAGGTGCATGGAGATTTTAAGCAAAAGGAGACTGGTATAGAAAGTTATTGACATCGAAAGATGGAGAGAGCTTTTGAATAGTAAAAGAAGTTAAGAAGACAATTAGCAGAATCTCATATAAAGCATAACGACTTCTACTAGAAGTTAGGGATGCTGGAAATGGAGAAAGAACTTTATAAGCTAAGCTAACATGATTGTGAGAGAACAATTTCCTTTCTCAAAACAAAGAGAAGGTAAAGATAATTTCCAATAAATTGTGACAGGAGAGAGTGAAACAAAAGAGAGATAGCGATGCTGCTATTCTGATCAATTGCTCAACACAATTGATGAGGATAACTACAGATCTTCATACATTTGTGAGAGACTTGAACCTTAGCTCCTAAGTTTCTTCCTCTTCTACCAACCTTGAACTCTTGACCTAGTGGGGTGGAGTAAACTCCCTCAACCACGATGGCAAGAATGGCCGGTGAGACATAAACCTTAGCCACACTCATAGAGTTAGGTCTACTAAGATGAGAGAGTATGACAATTAGAAGAGTATGTGGTCCAGATGATATCTTTATAGTGGTTTTCTTTCAGTTAAATATTCATTTGTGTCTTCTGCTGTGACGATGCAGCTTGTTTTGTTTACATATTTACATGAAATCAACACAAAGGATTCTAGATACAATTTAAAATGTATGTTCTTAGATGCTTTTTTAGATTGCTTTATTTTAATCTTAACTAAGGGAGGTGTTATTGCATTGCAGATTCTTAAACCGGCAGCATCTTATTGACGTGACTGAAGTTTTTAGGTTCATTGAGTCTGAGAAGAAGATTCGGATATTCAAGCTGGGTTTCTACTTGGTCCTCTTTGTTCTAGTGCTTGTCAGGTTTTATTATGACTCTTGACCCTATTATTTTCCTACTTTTACTCATATCCTCTCTCAAGATATGCTAATACATAGCTTGATTGCTGTTTCTACATAGAATATCCAATGGAGGGACGCATCCTACTTTGCTATCAGTTTTCCAGTCCAATGATGGAGATTTTGATATTCGCTCCTCAGTTCTTGAATTCTAGACAGTTTTTAGGTCTGATTAGGTGTCTCCTTTGATTTTGAAAAGTAAAATGTGTTCTTTTTCTCATAATAAAACAGACAGGAATGCATATGTTGATATGACTCCCTGTTCTTGTTTGCACTCCATTTTAGGCTTTCTGTTTCTTTGGTTTTTTTAACTATTAATAATTACTGGTATAAAATAATAAAATAAAGATTATAGAATAAGCTTGGGTCGATCCAATGAGAATATCTTGCATCTTATACAGCTGTAGTTTGCTCAAAGTTTCTTCACATCTTGTGGAGCCTCTATCTAACCATCTGATAAGTCCAGTAATGATGTATTATAATTAAACTCAATTCCAATTTTAGCTCCAGAGAAAAACTTTGGCCTTAGTACAATGTATTCCAGTTTCCATGGTATGAGCTTGACATTTTTTAATTCAAATTACAGCTAACAGATGACAAGGTTGTCCATCTGCATTACAGTACATGGAATCTTGAATATTTTTTTCTTTTTTGATAAGGAATCTTGAATATTCACTTAAGGAGAAGTGATCAAGATTATCTTAAGAGCTACTAAAAAAGGAATGGCCAGTGTTTGTTTGGAAAAGTTGGTACTTGTGAATTGATGTTGAAAAGTATATTGGAGCTGCAGATAGCTAGAGAAAAGAAATGGTAGGCTAGCACAAAATGATGTCACATGTTCAGTTAAGCAGTAGCAGCCATACTCATACAACCAGTGTAAAATGAAAAATATTGTAGGTTAACCTGAGTGGTATTGTTTAGTTACTGAAAACTGCGATATTGGTCTGGAGTAAAATGTTAGCTCAAAAATGTTATTCCCTCTGTCCGAATTTATCTGACACTCTTTCTTTTTTAGTCGGTCTCATTCCCAAAAAGAATGACACTTTTCTATATTTAGTAACAATTTAAACTTCTTATTTTTCCTTTAATGTGATGATTTATAGCTATACAAATTTCTTTGGCTTGTTTTAAACCACAAGTTTCAAAAGTCTATCTTTCATTCGTAAACTTTGTCCCCGGTTAAACACCTTAACACCATCGCGTAAATTGGGACGGAAGGAATATCAAATTCTCTTAGCTTCGGGCTGTTCGAAGATGTGATAGAGCTACATGTAAGAATTGTAAGGTTATACCAAGAGAAACACTAACTTCTACCCACCATAGACTAGTAGTCTTAGATGTGAGAGGAAGAGTATTGCATCTAAGGATAATACAAGATATCGAGAATTAAGGGATGGGTACTAAAGGGCACAAACCAAGTAGCATTGAAGGACATGTTACAGAAAGAAGGGGCATGGGATGTAGAAGGATACGCAGATACTGAATGGAAGGAAATGTCAAGTAACACTGAGAAAGTAGCAAGTGAAGTTCTAGGAGCATCTAAAGGTCTAGGGACTCGACCAAAAGATTTGTGGTGGTGGAATGAGGAAGTGTAAAAGGCTGTTAAGATCGAGAAAGGGTGATCCTTATCAAAGAAGACCTAGAGGGAGTACTAAAGGAAGCTACTAAATTCATAAGGAAGAGAAACCTTGAGGAAGACAAGAGAGCTAAGAGAGAAGACAAGAAAGTAATCATCAGAGCTAGAGGGAAAGCTCTAGATTGTTCGTACGAAAAGTTAGGGATACGAGAAGAGAAAGCAAAATTTTATAAAGTAGCACAGCTAAGAGAGAAGTAAAGATTTGAACTAGGTTAAGTGCATCAAGGACGAGTCCTAGATAGTCTTACAAGGAGATAGTGAGATAAAAAAGAGATGAAGAGCCTATTTTGATCAATTGTTCGACTCAAGCCACTAGGATAATTTGTCAGATCTTCATACTTTTGTGCTAGACAACAACTGTGACTACACTCGTAAGATTAGACTCATAGAAATAAGGGATGCCATGAAAAACGTGGAAGTTAGAAAAACTTGTGGACCTGATGGTGTCCCTATTAGAAGTTTGGAAGTGCCTCGTAGAAGTTGAAGTAGGAATTACAAACACTCAATTCCTTCTAAAGAAGTATTTATCTCTTTTACACCAAATTGTTCAAATACTTGAGTGAGTCAGAACCCATATGCCAGTGCATCCCTTCCTTGAGATGGGGTGGCTGCCCTAGTTACGTGCTTTGATCCGAAGAGTACTTCGATTCTCGTATTCAAGAACTAAGGAGATATTCATAGTTGTGATAACTATCAGGGCATTAACTTTTCAGCCATACGATGAAGCTACGCGAAAGAGTAATCAAGCGGAGACTTAGGTTACCAATTTGGATTTATGTCTTGTAGGTGTACAATAGAGGCTATATTTTACTAAGAAGATTAATGTAAATTTATAAGTAGAAAAAGAACCTACACTTGATATTTATTTACTTAGAAAAAGCATATACTAGAGTGCCAAGGAATGTCCTTTGGTGGGTATTTAAAATAAAAGAACTCATGTCGAATATATATAAATGTCATAACGAGTATGTAAAAAGCAACTGTCACACGTGTGAGACTAGCATCAAAAGACATAGTGGAGTTCCCCATCACTGCGAGTTTGCACCATGACTCTTTGCTAAGCCCATATCTTTTTACCCTTGTCATAGATGACTTAACCAACAATATGCATGATGAGGTTACCATGGTGCATGCTCTTTCCGGATAATATGTCTTAATTGATGAAACTAATGAGATTGTCAATCAAAAACTCGAGCTGTGGAAAAATACTTTAGAGAGTAAAGGATTCAAGATAAGTAGGGGTAAGTTAGAATACATGCACCACAAGTATAGCCAACGAGATAGGAGTGAAGTTGAGGGGAGATTAGATGGAATTGAGGTGCCTAAATATAGACAGTTTAGATATCTAGTTTCAATGTTCGAGGAGAATGGAATGATAGATTAAGATGTTATTTCTACTTTACTTTATCAAAAAATAGAAGAACGAAATAGATGGAAGATGTTACACACAAGATTAAAATAGGATGGCTGAAATGGAAGAGTGCCACAAAAGTGTAATGTGATAGGAAGATACATACTAAAGTGGAAGACAAGTTTTATAAAACGACTGTAAGGTCGGCAATGTTGTATGAGAGTGAATATTAGGCATCTAAAGCCCAACATATCCACAAGATAAGTGTTGCAAAAATGTTAAGATGGATATGTGGTCACACAGGATTAGATAAGATAAGAAATGATCACATCCGTCAGAAGGTGCAAGTAGCGCATATGGAGGATAAAATGAGAGAATGTTGCTTGGATGTTCTTGCCACGTGTTAAGTAGGCCTCCAGATGTATCGGTTCTTAGCGTGCAAAAATGATGATTGAAGATGTTGAAAGAGGAAGAGATAGACCTAAAATTACATGAAAAGAAGTTATATCAAAAGCTTTGGAATATCTTGGAATCTAGGTAGATCTTGCAAAAAGTTAGATAACATAAGAAAGTTGAAAATCCATATAGGTGATACCAACTTGAAGGCTAATATTTACTAGGAGGCTCTTAGTATATTAGAGATATAATCACTAGAGTATATTAGAGAATTCCTAGAAAAAAAAATAATCCTTAACTGCGGAGTATTGAAATATTATGGGACCTAACTAGAGTAGTTATGATATTGAGGATCTATACAACCGAAGCTTGGGATTGAGCTGTTGTAGTAGTTGTGTGTGTATATATATATATATAGGGGGTGGGGGGATGGTTATGACCATACATTTAGATTCCTACTTATCCGTGTTCTGTGCTTGAGTGTCTACAATTATAAGTACAATAGTCGAAAGCAAAATGGAGAATCAAAAGTTATGTAGGAGAGAGAGAGAGAGAATCAACTAAAGAAAATTTATTTGTTCGACTAAGAACTCATTTCAGAGCAAGTAGGAACATCTTGCTTGTAGTTAAAGTTACTTGTGGCGTTGAAATCCCAGCCACGATGGCTCTTATATTTTTGTATGCTTTTCTGAATCCTTTTATGAAGCAAAGTATGAAGTCGCTATGAGGTCATTGGTATTGTAAATTATGCATAGTAAAGTGTTAATTCATGCCTACAGATTTTGCATCGTATTTCTGAACAGAATAGATGATATAGCTGTTTTATGAAATGTTTGACATAGTTTCAATAGCAAAAAGCACTTTTGATGATGTTCTCTTTCTGGAAAATCCTGTCAATTATGGAAGGAGTAGATGTCATCTTAACAAAAAAGTTTGATTATACCCTGCTACACCATAAGGATGGGCATATTTAGTTGTATAAAATACTGTTTGCGGCATTTAGAAGCCTTCTATTCCTCTTCTGATATATTTTTGTTGACTATAACATACTATATACTACTAAAAAGGGTCGTTGCCTTTCTTTTCTGATCAAAATGATTTCTTCCATGCAGTCTGGTCCTATCTTTTATCAACGCTCTAGTCGATGAAGATGATGCTATCGATTTTGGTTCCTTACCACTGCCCAGTTTCTTTTGAAGATATTTTCCAGTTTTTGGTCAAGGAGATAGATAGCTGAGGTCTATCAACCAATATAGTCCTGGGAAACGTCTGCTTGAATTCCGAGCTAACCTACTTACTCTAATTTGTATCTGCTGGTTATTTTTGAAGAAAAAATTGTTCAAACTATATCAGGGCTGACTTTTGACAGCCATTTCGACATTAGATTGTTCGCTTACTCTTTTTGCCTCAGTCTGGACTCTTCTTCAGTTCGACTTTTGGTTGGGTAACTCTGGCAGTTGAATATCCATATGAGCTATATGTGACTTAATTTAGAGGTTACATTATCTTGTAAATGTCCTGTAGACTTTTTTCTAATAGAAAGCCTCATTTTGTCTCCCAGATTGGAGGATTTTTTGTTTTTGGCTTTTGCTTTATGTGTTTCCCTATAGCATAACACAGAGCTGCTTTAACACATCTAGTTTGACTTTAATTTTGGCATATTATGTAAATAATTGAAGAATTTGTGAACACGGAAAAAGTATTTCTCTCCTCAATAGTCAGTAAATCAATATATAATAGTATTTCATTGCATCATTTCATGCTCATAATTTAAATGAATAATATGTTTCTTAACAGATTTAGTCATAAGTTTGAGATTTGAACTGCTTCTAGTTGGCTTATTGGAACTCTTTATGGTTATCCAATTACGAATGTGAAACATTGATATTCAATTGTTAAAATGAAAGATAAAAATGATATTACTTCAAGCTAATAGCAATTTCTTTGTAGAGAATAATAAGAGTTAACAGAAATCTCGTCTTTGTTTCTCGCGTATGAAGACACTATTACATTTAAAAATAAATAAACAAAGCTGTATCAGCTCCTTTTGAATCCCTTTAATGTGTCACGAATGATCCCTTTAAAATTATTGTATGGTCAAGAATATACTTTTTTTTTTCTGGCAAAATATAAAATCAGCCGGTCGTTCAAAATTAATTGTATTTTTTAGCCAAAAAGTGTATAATATGTACACACAAAAAATACAATTAGTATAGCGATTATTTTTGGGACAGCTAAAAATATATATTTCTCCTTCCAGTGACCGATAAATTAGCGGGCCAACTTTTTTTTTTATTTAAACCCCTCCCAAATTAGGAGGATCTATAGCGGACCAACTTAATCTTGCATCTGTCGTAAAAATAGCACGGGCTAGCCAGTTTTCGGACTAGTCATGGAAAAATAGCCAGCATTTGCAAAGTCATTGAAAAATAGTCACTATTTTGCTGCTACACGGAAAGTTCTAGCATAATATATTGGAGATCGGTGCACCTGTGTATGAACTTCCATCATATTATGTTGGGCCGGTATATTATATTGGAACTCCAGTATATTATGCTGAAAGTCCAGTATACTTATGCTTGAACTCCAGTATATTATGCTGGAGTATTTTCAGGATTTTGAACAGTGTTTTTGTTCAAATTTATCTTTACATGAAAAGTAGCTAAATTTTAATTATTTTTAAAATTGTGACTATTTTTGAATGACCACTTGTAAATATGACTATTTTTGAATTTCTCTCGCATACGTTGATAAGTGATTATTAGGGAGACAAGACTTTGACATTTCACGTACAACTGTTTCATGAGTTACCTTTCTCTGTTTACGTGAAAACTACGGTAATTATTGAGTGCTCGTTTGGTACAAGGGATAAAGAATAATTAATTTTGGGATTAAATTTGAGATGAGTTTATCCTACGTTTGGTTGGGATAAAATCGTGGTATAATTAATTGCGGGATTAATTATTCCGGGATTGTAATATTTTTTTTTATCCATATAGGAGGTTGGGATAACTAATCCCGAAATAATTAATCATGCGATAACTTTTTTTCCAACTACGCTCGCAAATTTAGTAGATCAGGCCAATCTAGATTTTGAAAAAGCGCAATGGAGACTTTTGCACTTTTTGTTGATTTTTTATGTTAGGCATCTATTACTTAGTTACTTGATTAATTCGTTTTTGACTCTCAAAATTTGAACTGGCTCAATTGGGATAGAGGAAGTATTTATTTGGGCAAGTTACATATTTAATCGATCAACGAAAAAATTATATCCGCTAGCGTGAACAGGCAAAAATTCCGCATTCCAATCATCATTAATCTATATTGTTAACTGGCGTCCAGGCTTGTATGTTGGTTTTATTAGCCCAAATGTTGAGCCCAGTAGGACAAGGCATTTATGAGATTTTTATCTTCCTATACACTATTTAAAACCTTATTACCCTCAATACTCAAGTTTCAATTTAATTATATGGTCATATACAATTTACCAATTATATACAAATAAGTTTTAAATGAGTATCCCTTTATATTAGGAATTGAATAAGGAATATCGGTTATTTTCTTATCCCTTTATACTCCCTCCCCCTCTCTCTCCGTCTCTCTACTCTCCTTCTCCGTTTTTCCCCAATTTTTCTTCATTTAATGTTCTCTGTTTTTTTATGCTTTCTTGTAGTATAGAGTTTTAATGAAATTTATCAATGGATTTCAATCGTTTTAACTTAGCAATTCTCTTTCATGTTGCACAATTTATGTTCGAATTAAAATTGTCAATCAATAAATTTTGAAGTTGTTTGATTCTCCACCATTGACAGCCATTAAAAACTTTCGAAGCTTTGAATTCGAATTTGAGTTTTTAAAAACTATTATTTGTTTGGATTGGGTGTTATTGCAAACAATTGAGAATGTTTTTTTAGAGTTTATATCTCAATTTTGAGGGTGCTTGGTGAAAATTAGACTTGATTTTGGCTGAATTTCATATTGAAACTCGAAGAAGAAGAAGAAGAAGAAGAAGAAGAAGAAGAAGAAGAAGAACATATGACATACAATATACTTACGAAATTGTAGTAAAGTTTATTATAATTATATATAAATTGTATTATATTGTAGTTATATATATATATTTTTTATTTGAATGTTGTATGAAAGTTGAAAAATACTTGGATAATATATGAATCGTTGTATAAAATTTATAATTAAGTTATTAATATTATCTTTTTACATAAAGTTGTTGATATGTATCAAAATTGTATTAAGAAAGTAAGTTTTGATTGGAATTTTAGAGAGGAAGAAGCACACACCACATACATTAGACTTATTTTCTCCAAATTACTATGGAAAGATAGAAAACTCAGTTGAATTCGTTATACATACATCTTAAACTAAAAACTCATGAATCGTGATATTGTGGTTCAACGTGTGTCCTAGGCCTTTTTCTCTTTTCTTTCATTCTCCTCGTGTGATAACTAATCCTGAAATAATTAATCATGTGATAACTTTTTTCCCAACTGGCAAATTTAGTAGATCAGGCCAGTCTAGATTTTGAAAAAGCGCAATGGAGAGTTTTGCACTTTTTGCTAATATTTTATCATAGGCATCTATTACTTAGTGACTTGATTAATTTGAACTGGTTGCACTTAAATTGCACTCATCTATTGCCCCTCTTTGCTTGAAAACACGAAGTATTTTTGAGCAAAGAAACAAGTAAGCGACGTAATTGATTTTCTGACCCGACACTTATTTAAAAGAAAAGAAAGATGGATAGAAGATTGTGACCGAGCCCTGGTATATCTGAGCTGCCTACATATCCTTGGCTATAAAGGAATCAGGCTATGCGTAGTTCAGAAATGAATGAAGTGATGGAGTGTGTGGAGAGGATGAGAGAGTTGAGTGAGGTTCCGTCGAGGCTCCGGTCCGTGGTTCTATTATTACATTAAAATCAAAACCTAAAAGAACTAAACAAGTCTATCAGCTATGAGTTACAAGATTCCTATCTATAAGTCTTCTGAAACTTGATCTTGAATCTTGAATGGTTCTTCATGCAGACTTTTGATTTGAACCTTGATGCTTGCTAGTTGCAGGTGCTAGTTCATTCTTCTTCAGCTTTTCGGAACAAGACGATACATGCAAAGCTTGTGACTTCAGCCATGTCTTGAGCAGTTCACATCTTTCATCGGCTTCTGCATTTTGGATTCACTTTTTTTTTATTTTCTTTTATTCTGGATTGAGACTTCTTCCTTTGGTCATCTCGGACTGTCGACTCGCATTCTTGAGGCGATCTTATGCTACTTCTAACTTGAATTGAATTCTGAAATGACTTCCCTCGTTCTCCAGGTGGGAGCCTGCTACTGACTTGAAATTTGAAGTAACTCTGAAATGAATTCCCCCGTTCTCCAGGTGGGCGCCTGATGCTTCTTGAACTTGAAAATTGAAAGTTGACCCTGTTCTTCAGGTGGGATCCTGATGCCTCTCTAACTTAAAATAAATTCTTTCATTCTCCAGGTGGGTGCCTCGTTCTCCAGGTGGGCGCCTGATGACTTAAAACTTGAAATAAATTCCTCGTTCTCCAGGTGGGCGCTTGATGACTTAAAACTTGAAATAAATTTCCTCGTTCTCCAGGTGGGCGCATGATGACTTAAAACTTTAAATAAATTCCCTCGTTCTCCAGGTGGGCGCATGATGACTTAAAACTTGAAATGAATTCCCTCATTCTCCACGTGGGCGCCTGCTACTGACTTGAACTTGAAATGAATTCCCTCGTTCTCCATGTGGGCGCCTGCGACTGACTTGAACTTAAAATAAATTCCCTCATTCTCCAGGTGGGCGCATGCGACTGACTTTAACTTAAAATGAATTCCCTCATTCTCCAGGTGGGCGCCTGATGACTTAAAAGGTGAAATAANTTCTCCAGGTGGGCGCCTGCGACTGACTTGAACTTAAAATAAATTCCCTCATTCTCCAGGTGGGCACCTGCGACTAACTTTAACTTGAAATGAATTCCCTCATTCTCCAGGTGGGCGCCTGATGACTTAAAACTTGAAATAAATTCCCTCGTTCTCCAGGTGGGCGCCTGATGACTTAAAACTTGAAATGAATTCTCTCGTTCTCCAGGTGGGTGCCTGATGACTTAAAACTTGAAATAAATTCCCTCGTTCTCTAGGTGGGCGCCTGATACTGACTTGAACTTGAAATGAATTCCCTTGATCTCCAGGTGGGCGCCTGCGACTGACTTGAACTTAAAATAAATTCCTTCATTCTCCAGGTGGGTGCCTGCTGACTTAAAACTTGAAATAAATTTCCTCATTCTCCAGGTGGGCGCTTGATGACTTAAAACTTGAAAACTAAAAGTTGACCCTGTTCTTCAGGCGGGCTCCTGGTACTTCTGACTTGAACCTAAAACCGATTTTTGAAATATTTTCCCTCGTCCTCTAGGTGGGTGCCTGCAATCAAAACAAACAAAACAAACAAAATTTTCTGTCCCAGTTTGCACTAGGAAGATTTGTGAGTTGTTAGCAAAAGTGTAAATCACCTATGCTATCGATGAAGGATGCAATGATGAGACT